GCCAGAGCAGAGCTACCAGACCAAGCTGTGGGCCTGAGACAAGTGCTCACCATCACACTCGCTGACTACTCACTCTGACTGCATGAAATGCCATGACACGCCCTGCCTGCCCACCCTGTTCACCATGCTCCTGGTTGCTCATGCTTGCTGGGGCATGTTTTAACCACTCAGGGCTGGTGCTGCCCGCTGTGAATCAGCTGCTCACATCAGCAGAGCTGCCTGCTCCTGGGCAAGTCCTGTTGAAGACTCCCTCGGTAGTTCTTGCCACTCAGAATTGAGGCTCCTGGACACTGTGTTTCCCCTCGCTCCGGCGGTGAAGGCATTTTCTCTGGAGTTACTCACCTTGCCAAATTACCATTAGTGGCTGATGATGAATGGTTGTCATCTGCCACCATCCTTCTTGGTGCCGTCCCCTGATTTATACTGAGGAGGACTGGGGGAAGATTCAAAACCCTCCCCAGCAGAACCCCCAGCTACAGTTAGGTTGGGGAATGATAAGGTAAAATTTCTCGTAGAAACAGAAGCTACTTATTCTGTTATAAATACTTCTAAATGGCAACTAAGCAAACAAAGAGCTTCAGGCATTGGTGCCACAGGGTGGACAGGAACCCGGCCTTTCTTTCAACTTTTAAATTTTAAAATTGGCAAACAGATGTTGGCCCATCAATTTCTTTGCATGCCTGAGTGTCCCATGCTGCTATTGGATAGAGATATACTGAGTAATTTACATGCATAACTTCGGTTTAAAGAAGATTCAGATACATGTTCCTCATGAAAAGGCTGTGGAGGCACAAGATTTTATGTTACAGAAACCAGCTACTGAGTTGGATAGACCAGAAATGAAGAATATACCCCACAAGTATGGGCTGCTGGAGCACCAGGACGATCATGAAATGCAGAACCAATAACTACTCATCTGAAACCAAACATCAGACCGGTAAGACAGAAACAATATCCTATAAAACTGGAAGCAAGACTAGAGCCTCTAATAGAAAATTTTGTCAAATACTTTGGGACAAAAATGGACTGTATTTCTATTTCACATGGTAACAATCATTCTGGAACAGAAAAGCAGTCATTGGCTTTCCCCAAGCAGACTGTGCTGTTAGAACAGGAGGACATATAGAATTGAAAGTAACTAACCTTTTGAACTCAGTAGTGGTTTTGACAACTGATCCAGAAGCAGGAGAGCTGACTCACAACTGTTTACAGACTATTGAGCAGGTGTATTCCATTGCAACTTGTCATGGCTTAAGCCCAGCTGGCAACCGAGAACCATGCAACCACTCGCTCACCCCCCCCCCCCCTTCCTCCCCCCACTCCTGGAGGGATGGGGAGGAGAACAGAGGAATGTAACTCCCATGGGTTGAGATAAGAACAGTCCAGTAATTAAAGTATAATGCAAAACCACTACTGCTACCACCAGTAATAATAATGATAAGGGAAATAACAAGGGAAGAAAATACAACCACTCACCACCTGCCAACTGATACCCAGCCTGACATGAGCAGTGATCTTGCCCTTCTGGGCAACTGTCCCCAGTTTATATATTGGGCATGATGTGCTGTCGTATGGAATACCTCTGGCTAGTTTGGGTCAGGTGTCCTGTCTCTGCTTCCTCCTGGCTTCCCCTCCTCCCTGCCAGAGCATGAGACTCAGAAAGTCCTTGGTCAGAGTAAACATTACTTAACAGCAACTAAAAACATTGGTGTTATCAGCATTGTTCCCAGGCTGAAAGTCAAAAACACAGAACTGCACCAGCTTCTAAGACTGAGAAAAATGACTGCTACTGCTGAACCCAGGACAATCAGGAAAGGACTGCCCGGGTCCCTTCTGGCAGCCACCCACATCAGCCTGAGCTGCTCATCTCCGAGCTCAAGCAGCATTTGCCTGTTCCTGCATTCAGAAAGGTTTCTTCCTTTGTCCACCTCTGTGCTGATTTTTGCCTTTTGCAAGCTGCATGAAGTACTTTTTGCTTTATTCCTTCTGTGCAGGAAGGTGGTTGTTGCAAACAATATGCTGCTCAAAGCAAGAGTTCTCCAAAAGGAGAAAGGGGGCTGAAAAGACAGAAAAGCTCTAGGTAGTAAGTGTCCATTAAGATCTAACTAAAGACATATTAACATGCAAGAGAGCAGCTACATGGAAAACTGGGAAACTACCTAGTTCCCTAGGAACACCAGAGCTGGCACAAGGGACAGTTAGCATGGGATGAGGACAGAGCAGGCAGGAAGAGAGGATGCAAAACTATTTCTGGGGGATGCAGAAATAACTTAAAACAGTCACTGTACAGCCCAACCCTGCAGCTTAGTGAGTGACCATATAAGTCAATTTAAGTGGGGTCTATCCCATAAGGGGGACTTTTTCCTTGTCCAAGTGGATCAGCTAGGCAATTTATTTAAAAAAAAAAAAAATAATTCATCAACATGCCCCATGTCCAAGTTCACTTTTAAATACTGCAGCTGAAAAATTCCCAAAGCCAGAACTCAGGTAGCAGGAGGAACATGAAGACAAACTTCCCCTTTTTGGACAGCTTGCAGTCTGGTTGGCTTAAGCCAAACATGCAAACATCCCCAGGATCACTTATGAGCAAAAATATCCATACCTGTTCTAAGGTGGTTTTCTAACATCATACAAGACAGTCAGGTCACATCTACATTTCTTTCAAAAATGTTTAAAAGAAAAGCTGTGCTACAATTTCTATGAGATGTTACTGGGATCTCTCAGGTCACTCCAATTAACAGGAAGGCTTAAAAATGGAGATGCTCTTATACACAGCTTCCCAGGAAAGAATGCGGTGTTTAACCTCAGCTGCTCAGTCTTTCTGTTTGAGCAGAAATAAAAAGGATAAAAGCACCCTGGTTCTGAAGAGCACTCAAGCCCAGCTGTTAGTCTGGATCACACTCGCATTGCAGCACCCACCCAAAATAGAACTGAGCAACAGGCACCTGTGCCGGCACTGGCTGCCTCTGGCTCTGCATCTCTGTGGCTGAGGGAACAAGGGAAAAAGCATGAACTTAGAAATCAGACTGCAACTATCTTACTCATAATGCCATTAAGAAGGCAAGTGCTGCTGCTGATGTCACGGGTTTCAGACATCATGGAAACACCATCCACGTAGCCAATACTCTTGTAATTTCCATGCATGTCAACTATTTCTAAACCTGAAGAGTTGTTTACAAATGAAATGCTATCCTACCATTCTTACAAAGTCACCAAACACTGCTTCACAATAGTAGCAATGTCCTGTGCTGCAGTTACAAGAGCTGCAGTACTAAAGCCTCTCAGAAGTAGCACAGCTAAGTTTTAACTCTGAGAGAAAGAGAGGTCATATTTGCCAGGGTTACCTATTTGTAATACAGGTCAATGCGGTTTGTCTGCAACAGCCAACCAGAGCAGCCAGAAACACCTTACAAGGAAAACCATCACACCAAGGTGTCATAGTTTTCCAAAAAACTGTTATGGTTTAAGCTCATCTGGCAACCCAGAAATATGCAGCCCACCCCACCCCCCCCTTCTCCCCCCTCTCCCGGAGGGATGGGGAGGAGAACTGAAAGAACGTAACTTCCATGGGTTGAGATAAGAACAGTCCCGTAACTAAGGTATAAAACAAAACCACTACTGCTACCACCAATAATGAACATGAGCTGGCAGTGTACACTTGCAGCCCAGAAAGCCAACCATATCCTGAGCTGCATCAAAAGGATCATGACCAGCAGCTCAAAGGTGATCCTGCCCCTCTACTCTGCTTTCGCCAGACCTCACTTGGAGTACTGGGGACAGTTCTGGTGTCCTCAACATAAAAAGGACATGGATCTGTTGGAACAAGTCCAGAGGAGGGACACGAGAATGATCAGGGGACTGGATCACCTCCCATATGAAGATAGGCTGAGAAAGTTGGGACTGTTCAGCCTGGAGAAGAGAAGGCTGTGTGGAGACCTCATAGCAGCCTTCCAGTATCTGAAGGGGGCTTACAAGTATTCTGGAGAGGGACTCTTCACTAGGGACTGTAGTGATAGGACAAGGGGTCATGGGTTAAAACTTAAACAGGGGAAGTTTAGATTGGATATAAGGAGGAAATTCTTTCCTCTTAGGGTGGTGAGGCACTGGAATAGGTTGCCCAGGGAGGTTGTGAATGCTCCATTCTTGGCAGTGTTCAAGACCAGGTTGGATGAGGCCTTGGGTGATATGGTTTAGTGTGAGGTGTTCCTGCCCGTGGCAGAGGGGTTGGAACGAGATGATATTAAGGTCTTTTCCAACCCTAACTAGTGAAATAACAATGGAATAGAATAAAAAACGCTCACCACCCACCGAACTATACCCAGACCGACCCGAGCAGAGATCTAGCCCTTCTGGGTAACTGCCCCCAGTTTATATACTGGGCATGATGTGCTGTCATATGGAATATCTCTTTGGCTAGTTTTGGTCAGGTGTCCTGTCCCTTCTTCCTCCTGGCTTCCCCTCCTCCCTGGCAAAGCATGAGACTCAGAAAAGTCCTTGGGTCAGAGTAAACATTACTTAACAGCAACTAAAAACATTGGTGTTATCAGCGTTGTTCCCAGGCTGAAAGTAAAAAACACAGATCTGCACCAGCTTCTAAGACTGAGAAAAATGACTGCTACTTCTGAACCCAGGACACAAGGTGACAAAGTAAAGCCAAATAAATTATAAAAGCCTTTGCTCGATATCTAAACAGTGCCTCTGAAAAGATTCAGCTCTAGATGACCTCAGAAAAAACATTTTAAGTAGAGCGAAATTACAAGAGCTCTCCCTCCCATCCTTCAGACATACCTCAGCACAAACATTACAGCTAATCAAGCTGACATGAGGCACGCTGTCACAGAAGAGCTGGTTGCTCAAATACCAAATGCTGATATGGTTTGTTACTTGCAGATACCGTGTGGTTACATATCCCCTTGCGTCTCTTCTAGAGACACCCATTCATCAGCTCCCTTTACTAGCATTCTTCAAACACAGGATAACTTTCCAAGCATCTCTATTACCTGGGCAAGCCTGCTATGTATGACCATGAATCCTTCTGAGGAGTGTAGGTCTCGACTGAAGAAAGTGCCCCATTTTCATTCCTGCCACCAACAGCTACCAGCATGTCGGTAACAGCTCCTAGGTAGAAATCTACATGGCGCTGTCTCATGGAGGCAACCTGTCAAAAAGAATAGCATGCTGACATCTTCAAACATCTGGTAAGCAAGCAGACTGAAGGTACATTCATGTCTGAGGATAGGATAGTTGCTTCTTCCCATGTATTTGGAAAGCAGAGCTACTGGTTTTGACCATTATGTTCATAAAATGCTTTTGTTTTTCTTCAGTAGCATGTTACATAGCATTAATTTCCAAAAAAGTGGACAACAGGAAGCATCCAAGAGACAGTTTATTCTAGAAATGTTGTCTTACATGGGCCTCCTTCCAAAACTCTGCATGAAATATATTGGAATCACTCAAAACCACAACTGAACAACAAAGGATGATTGGTTCATACAGGAATCTGTGCTGGCCCCAGGGTTTTACAGGACTGGTATTGAATAGCTTGTTCTAAGAGACATTTAGTACAGAGACGTTGACAAGAGTCAGAGACATTTTCTTTTTATATCATACCCAGTTTTGATTTAATTATATGTGTCCCTACTTGAGAAAGATGAACTAAGCAATCACTCTGTAAGTCCATTGTAGCATTATTCCCAAAGTACTCTAGAGTTGCAGATGGATGCTGACAATTTCACAGATGAGACACCCAAATCCCAAGTGAAGTTGAAAATCTGCCCCAAAGTCTTCTGCTGTAACATAAGCACTCCCACAAAGGATTCAAGTAGCTGCTTTTTCAACTTAAATAGATTGAATTTCCATTTGCAAGTATTGCTGTGTTGGCTATTCTAATGAGCCCTGTCCTTTCACCAAAAAGAAGAAAACACTCTAAACATTAAGGACTTTAAACAGAGAAATAATAAAGCTCATGTCTCACCTTTATCCACTGGTTACAGCGGGAATCATACCTATATAAGAGATTTGAAGCTGCATCCCCTCCGTCGTCTCTTGAAAAGCTGCCTCCAGCTATGAAGATGAAGCCTCCCAAGACTGCAGCACAGTGGTGACTTCGCCTGGCTGGGAGAGGGGTCTCTGCTACCCACTGCCCCTTTCTGGTGTCCAGGAAGCAGGTATCATCTCTCAGTTGCAGGCATCACTCGGAAACCTCCCCACCCCCAAAGAGTAGCCTCTCTTCGCAAGTCCGCAGGTCTGTCCACTTGTTCTGCAGCACTAGATGAGCTGTGATGTTGTTGTGATAGTGCACTGCCTCCTCTATAAACCCCTCACAGTTTGTTTCTTTGGGAAGAAGAGAGCAGACAGCAGTCTTGACTCAATGGAGAAGATCACTTTTAGGTGTCAAGGGAAAATGAATGTTATCCAGAACCTGGTAAGCCTCGTTCTCCCTTTCTGGGTACTGGGTAAGCCACTGCAAGGCAGCCTGCAGCAAGTCATGCTCACACTCCTGCTGCACGTTGCTGCTGTTCAGGTACTGGCACAACTTCTGCAAGGAAATGTTCTGCAGGAAGTCCGGGGTGAAAGTCAGCGTGCCGAAGTTCTGCAAGATGAAAGAATCAATGTAGGGGTCAAGGCTCTTCAGGTTGTAAATAGAGGCCAGCTCTTGCAGGTACAAATAGTTCTCCTCACTTACTTCATTCTCCAGATACTCACAACAGAAATCAACCACCTTCCAGATCTGCAGCAGGTGAGCTGTTTTGAGCACATAGTCGATATTGCCTCCATTTAAAGACAGCTCACTGCCATAAAGGAAATCCATGACAACCTCGAGACCAGGGTAAGAGGATCCAAAAAGTTCAACCTCTTTTTGGTGGGCTTCTTGCATACCAATGGTGAACATGGAGTTGAAATAGTCACTGCAAACAGCAAGGAGGTTCTGATGGGCAGGGACTCTCTGTTCATCCACCACAAGGACAATGTCACAGAAGAGGCCTCGGTGCCTCTGCTCATTCAGGCTCAGAAGAACTAGACTGGAGTGGTCATCCCACCTGTATACCTGGAATAAACAAACACTATCAGGTAGGTGTTACCTTCACCAAGATAAACTTCAGTGTGTACAAAAGTGTTTTTCCACCAAATGTAGTCATACACAAGCGCGAGAGTGCTTACTTGTGCTGTACCTTTATGATAAATTCTGATTTGAAACAGTTGGCAAGGAACATAGTACAAGCACCTAAGCCCCTCACCTTCACTTTGAAAGGCCTATGCAGACTTTAACTGCTTCCTGCTCACCCTTTATAAATATATACACATATAAAAAAAGTTACTCCTATCTCCTCCACAATGCTGCATCCAAACCTCCCCTCTGATGACTTATAAAGGCACAGTTTTCTGAAACTCTTAGAATCATAGAATAGTTAGGGTTGGAAAGGACCTTAAGATCATCAAGTTCCAACCCCCCTGCCATGGGCAGGGACACCTCACACTAAACCATATCACCCATGGCCTCATCCAACCTGGTCTTGAACACTGCCAAGAATGGAGCATTCACAACCTCCTTGGACAACCTATTCCAGTGCCTCACCACCCTAAGAGGAAAGAATTTCCTCCTTATATCCAATCTAAACTTCCCCTGTTTAAGTTTTAACCCATTACCCCTTGTCCTATTACTACAGTCCCTAATGAAGAGTCCATCCCCAGCATCCCTATAGGCCCCCTTCAGATACTGGAAGGCTGCTATGAGGTCTCCATGCAGCCTTCTCTTCTCCAGGCTGAACAGCCCCAACTTTCTCAGCCTATCTTCATACGGGAGGTGCTCCAGTCCCCTGATCATTCTCGTGGCCCTCCTCTGGACTTGTTCCAACAAATCCATGTCCTTTTTATGTTGAGAACACCAGAACTGCACACAATACTCCAAGTGAAGTCTCACGAGAGCAGAATAAAGGAGCAGGATCACCTCCTTCAACCTGCTGGTCACACTCCTTTTGATGCACCCCAGGATATGGTTGGCTTTCTGGGCTGCAAGCGCACACTGCTGGCTCATGTTCATTTTCTCATCGACCAGCACCCCCAAGTCCTTCTCCACAGGGCTGCTCTGAATCTCTTCTCTGCCCAACCTGTAGCTGTGTCTGGGATTGCTCCCACCCAGGTGTAGGACCTTGCACTTGTCACGGTTAAACTTCATGAGGTTGGCATCAGCCCGCCTCACAAGCGTGTCAAGATCCCTCTGCATGGCATTCCTTCCCTCCGGCGTATCAACCGAACCACACAGCTTGGTGTCATTGGCAAACTTGCTGAGGGTGCACTCAATCCCACTGTCCATGTCAGCGAACAAGACCGGTCCCAACACCAATCCCTGAGGGACACCACTCGTTACAGGTCTCCAGCCGGACATTGAGCCATTGACCACAACTCTTTGTGTGCGGCCATCCAGCTAGTTCTTTATCCACCGAGTGGTCCATTCATCAAATTGATTTCTCTCCAATTAAGAGACAAGAATGTCGTGTGGGACAGTGTTGAATGCTTTACACAAATCCAGGTAGATGACATCAACTGCTTTACCGCTGTCCATCAGTTCTGTAGCCCCATCATAAAAGGTCACCAAATTGGTCAGGCAGGATTTCCCCTTAGTGAAGCCATGCTGGCTGTCACCAAGCAAATTGTTGTTTTTCACGTGCCTTAGCATGCCTTCCAGGAGAATCTGCTCCAAGTCTTCCACTCATTGTCTTTGAGACATCTTGTTGAAATTTCCTTTCTTGCTTATTCCCCAAATGACTTCTTACAGAGTTTTTCTCAACCGAGTTACTTGCTAAATATTTGGAGTGGGAGAGACACATGGAGCAGTATGACAAATTTTCATTCAGGACATGTATTTTGTTTGGGTTAGTGCTTACTTGACAGCTGCCCCCTCTTAAATCTTCTCAGAGCTCTGCATTTCCAAGCTTGTTATGGTAAAATCTTTCTTTCTTTCTTTAAATATTATTCCAGGCACACACACTGCATTCAGAATAATAGCTGTTTATTTATGTGCAAAGCCACACATGTGGATAACCTATTTTCATAAGATGACTACTTTTTTCCAGAAGCCGAGGTATTTTATGTTTTAATGAATACAACTAAGTATTTCCTGTAAAAAGAAAAAAAGAGGAAAATGCCCTCAGAACATGCCCATTAAGTGCCTTTCTGGGATGCCTCCAGTCCAGGCATTCTTCCCACCAGGTCTGTACATGCCACAGTGCTTGTGAAGCTACCAATGTTTGCCTCTTTCTCACAGACTCACATTACCAGTCTTAAGAACCACTAAAATGGAAATGTTTTTGTTACCCTTTGAATGTCTTGCAGAACACATATTGAAGGGGCTGGTTACCCCAGTATGTCAGGCAATGCGGCTTTTCGGGCCATCCTTCCAGAGGAATGGAGTCCTGGGTTCAGCAGTAGCAGTCATTTTTCTCCTTCCTAGTACCTGGTACAGTGTCGTGTTTTCAACTTCAGTTTGGGAAAAGTGCTGATAGCACACTGAGGTTTTTAGCTGTTGCTAATGTTTACTCCCATCAAGGACTTTATGAGTCTCATGGAGGAGGGGAAGCCAGGAGGAAGCAGAGACAGGACACCTGACCCAAACCAGCCAAAGGGGTATTACATACCACAGCACGTCATGCCAAGTACATAAACTGAGGGGGGAGGAGTTACCCAGAAGGCCCAGATCTCTGCTCAGGTCGGGCTGGGTACTGGTCTGCACATGGTGAGCAATTGTATCCTGTCCCCTTACTATTTCCCTTATCATTATTATTAGTGGTAGCAGAAGTACCTTTGTATTGTGATAAACACATAAATGTATCAGCTTTCTCAAATTATAGGTGTGGTTATGTGGATATAACTGTATGAGTTCACAATAACAGAAACAAAGCTTTCTAAGGACACAAGATTAGACAAGTTGAAAATGGCCAGAACTCTTGAGCAAAATGGAGTCACATAGCAAAAGAATTTGTAAAGGTAAAGGAAAAGGGGTGGGGGGGTGGGGACTTGATATAAGAAAAGCTAGTGCCTGGAAAACATAAAGTACTTTTTAGCTTAACTTAAGTTGTAGAAAGAGAACAATGTTTGTGTTGTAAGTCTGTGGAATTTAGTGGCCCCACTAAACATGAGTAAATTGTTCCACACTAGTCTTCTAAAGTACCTTTAGCTTTAAAGAACAATGTTTGTGTTGTAAGTCTGTGGTGAGTTAACAGGATTTAGTGGCCCCACTAAACATGAATGAGTTATTTCACACCATCCTACTTCTCAGTTAGAGACAGAGCCTCCCAAACATCTGCTAGCTTGGGATACTCTTTGTCTGCCCATCCTGTAATAAATTCTGCAGGAAGCTCACACTGCTTTAAATCTTTGCTAGTTATCAGAAGAATTACAGATATGTCTGGTTTCTTCTTCCTCAAGACCCCTGCCCAGAATCACCAGAGGGCAGTACGCAGATGCCAAGAGGAGGAGACTTATGATAATAAGCTCCTGGAGCTAGTTATAATATTCCCCGCCTATACGTGGGAATTATGAATGTGCATATGACTAATGCAATAGTGAAAGTATATAAAACGGTAACAAATGCTAATCAGTGCACCTCTGGCTACGGTCACGCTCCCAGCGCTGCTGCTTTTGCTTTATTGACTTTGTCCCCCAATAAAACCCTGTTACTGCTATTAGAGGAGTGAGCTCGTATTTCACAATTGGAGGCTCATCTGGGATAAAGACTGCCTTGCTTCCATGGGCCTAGGGGAATTTGAGCAAAAGATGCGCCCTGCCTATTTTGGCAGTTTGCTAGGTTTCTTCTGGTCTTATCAGCGCTTGCAGGTTATATCCTGGGCAAAGAAGGGGACTCGTAAAGCAAAAGCGGGGAAGGGCTCCCAGGGAAACCATGGTTGCCTGTAATTCATGTGCACGAAGACCCAGACAAGAAAATGGACTGTAAGTATTGTTCAGTTAGGCGGGAATATAGGGGTGATCAGTGTGTGAATGAGACATGGACTGGGTAGTCTGGATCTGTGAAGACACAGACCAGGTAGCTGGGACCTGTGAAGCGACAGCGGAGTCTTTCTAACCACAGTTCCAATCTCCTGCAAGCAAATTGGCTTGTGAAGAGATGAAGTGAACAAGTAACTGAAAAAAGACTGAAAGACCCCCCCAGGGTATAAGTATGGGGCAAGGGGCGGGTAAGCTGAGTCCAGGGAAAGAAATGGAGCAAGGAAATGCTGGCCAAAATACCCCCAGACAGTCCACTGGGAGTTATGTTAGCTAACAGGGAATATGCTTCAGGTACAAAAGGAAGGACAAGATAAAAAAATTCAACAGGAGGAGATACAAGACTAGGGGTGTTAGGGGCTCTACCTCCTGGAGAATATCAGGTAAAGAGGATGCCTATAAGTCATAAGACCTCCTACGTGAGGTAAAGAGCATGGGTGCTCGCCCCAAGGATTCGTTTGGTACAAGGGTAACTGTACTAATGTCTTTACAAACCTTTGGCAGGTAAACAAAGGCTTGAGATTTATGTGTTACCAATTATTGGCTTAAACGACATTCTGTGTGAAGTGGGTGATTGAGAGAAAGGCCCTTGTGTGAATGAGTGTTTTGTGTGACTGAGAGGTGGCATAGCTATGAAGCAAGTGTGGAGTCCTGATCCATGGTTCCGTGTTCTCTGCGAGGAGAGCGACCGGAGACAAACGAAGCGTATATGTCCTTTAAAATTGAACCTAGTGTTGAGTTTTGGTGTCCTGTCCACCCTAGTGTTGTGTATAAACCAATTTTTGTCTTTGAATGTTTTGTTTGTAAGGGTAAAGTGTGGTGGAATTTGATCAGGATTTTTTGTGTGTTAATTGCCCAGGAAATTGGTCCGATTGGGACCGGATTGAATGTTTGGGCGAATTAGTACAAGCAATTTGTGGAAATTTGTGAGAACTAAAGAACCAGTAGAACAATATAGGGTTTAACTGTCAAAGTAGTGTTCAAGCTCCCTGACATGGGGCTTGAACTAGCCCTTACCCTGTCTGTCATCACTGTAGTTTGTATATCCAAGCTAAGTGTCCTGCTTGTTCAAAATATATAATCTCTTTTGGTGGGAGACAAGAGGTTTATTTACATAACTGTTTGGAATTTGGGTGTATCTGTTGTGGGTGCTGCACTTCATTATACCTTTTACTCTCGGTAAAATGTCATTGTTGTAGGGCTAACCGTATCA